TATATATATATATATATATATATATATATATATATATATATATATATACATATATACATATATATATATTTATTTTTTTTTGTATTTTTCGTTTTTAGAAATTTTTTTCAGAAATAGCTCATACTTGTGACATTTATATTTATATAATCGCGATTCAACTAAGAAAAATTCTTATCTACTTTTGAATTCAAATTCGTGTATCTTACTAAAGACGAATTTCAGGTGATAACTATTAATATGGGACTGAAATAGTTTGATCCCACATGAAAGATACCGACACTCACGGGGTGCTCGCGAATATACTTTTCCGTGGCGATCTGGTTTGCGTACTCCACGACCCGTTCGATCATCTCTGTGGTCTCGGACGGTAAGATCGTATGCACCTCGTATATTAGAAACTGTATGTTGGGCCTGGTCAGTGCATATTTGAGTGTTGAGAATTGCTCGGCCAAAAGAACGCGAGGTTGCTTGATCGCGGCTGCTGTGTCGCTGGTCAATGATTCCAACAAACCGGTATCGCCACCGCGAGCAACCGCCAGGTCGACAATGTCCTTGACACCGGTGTAGCTGCACGGAGGAGTCGCCAAGACAACAGTCGCTCTCTCCAATTCGACAGACGGCGGTGGCGATACGTATCTGTCGATGTAACAAGTAAACCCAACAGTCGCGAGGTGTAACGTCGGCGATCACTCGAGAATCGATACATACGCGGACAAAATCTTATACCAAAAATTATTATAGAATTTTTCCAGGCAGAATAAAAAATCACGATGACGTTAAGATAATATCAAAATGACAAAAAAATAAATAAAAAACTCACTTTTCAATCATGATTTGATCATTTTCTTGTCATTTTAACATCATCCTGATTTTTTGTTCTATTTTAATTTTGTAGCCGAGGAATATATCATGCTGCCTTAATCTATTATTCTTTCATTTGAAATGTATTATTTATCCAAACAGATTTTTATGATTATTACAATGTGAAACAGTCGATGATGAAAACTTTACAATTTTATAAAGTAGATTTATCATAAACATAAAATATATTTAATTAATAATTCAATTTACATTATATAATAATGTAAATTTTTTATTATATTAATGGATAATTTATAAATTAAAAATTAATTTCAAATGTTTATCCCTGCTTAAGAAAGAGAGAGAGAGAGAGAGAGAACAGGATCCGATAAGATTTAATAAAATTATATACAAATTTTATTGGAATAATATATAATTTTATCTACATTTAGCATTTCATTCCAAAAATTTCAATTTCTCACATTTCAGCTCGTATAAAAATGTTATCAATTTCTTCCGTTTTGTATCATACTTTTTTTACGATAAATAAATTATATTAAACAATTAAATATTTATCCGAATACATATGTCTTTTTATGAAATCTTTTAAAGGGATATTACATTTTATAGGGCATATTTTGAATAAATTCTAATAATATTTTTTTCATATTTCTATTTCGTTATTTTATGTAATAAATATGAGTATCACAATATTTACTATTCATAAAAGATACAACTTTTACATATTGACTAATATGAAGTTGTTGCCAGATTTATGTATAGTACATCCATCTATCTGGGTATGTTTTAGAAACTGAAATCTATTCTTTAAATTTCTTTGAATAAAATTTCACCAGAAAAATAAAATGACAGACAAGTCACTCAAATTTGAGTGACTTTTTACTTATACAGTATGAATTCTTTATACTGAATCGTCGAGTAAGTATCTTTATTACAAATTGAAGAATGAATCTGATATGTTCCATCGTCACAAGACCCCAAATTCATTCTAATCAAAACATTTATTCTTATGGAATCAGGATTTATTCTAAGCTTGAGTAAATCATTTTTACGATATCGAGTGGCAATATGTTTACTATTATTTTGGGAATTTTAACTCATTTTAAATGTCATTTTACTCCAAGAAATTTAGAGAGTATATAAAAAATTTTTTTTAAATTATCATTTTCCTTAACAAAATAAGATCTATTGACAGTTTATTCCTGCAGCACTACTAAAAAACAATAAAATTAAAAAATATCTATATATCTCACTATGAAAGGAAAAGTATCTGAAAACTAAAAAATATTTATACAATAAGTACTAATAACATATTTACTTGTACTAATATTCATATTTTTTCTATTGAAGAAATATTTTGTTCAAATTAAGAGATTTACTTTTTCCTAAAATCGTTGCTTTTTATGAAAACAATTGTTTATTCTATTTAAGTAAAAGAATTTAGAAATAAGTAAATATGTTATTAGTATCCAGCAACTAAATAATTTTAATTTTATATATTTTTTTCTCTCACAATATATGAAAAGAAGTTATAAAAAATCTTTTTATAGTTTTGCGAGAGATCGCGTTTGTAGGAGTAATTCAATTATTTAATGCATTACTTCTCTGAGTAGATTCTACATTGTTGCAGAGTGACACCTAAGGTCTTGAGGTACTCTTCGTACTCGCAACGACGATCGCCGGCGTCAAAAGCCAACAGTCTACCGGCGTCTTCGATATCAGCCAGAAGACCCGCCAGGTATCCAGTATGACGTGGTGCGATCGAGTGTGTGAGGACCACAGGTCCGCAGAGACGCGCCACGCGTATTGCCTGCGCTAATGTGGCCGCCCCGAGACACGATGATCTTTCCTAGGCAAATCTCTCACTGTTTTTTTTTCTCGGTATCTTACTTTACGTCAATATTGAGAAAGTTACACACAGAAAAATATTGTTTTAGTATTAAAAAAGCGATTATTCAATTTACTTTCCTTCTTTTAAGTAACATTTAAGTAATTTCTTCTTTTAAGTAATTCCTTCTTTTAAGTTGTATCTATTAAAGAATATTTTCTAGATAATATTTTCTCAATATATACTCATCAGGACTTTTAGAAAAGCTTATTATCATATACTCGAAAGAAGAATTTATCTCTTTATAAGAATATTGTGAAACTTTATTAGAGGAAAACTTAGTTCAATCCTATGTAGAAAGCAAACCGAATTTTTGCTTTAATTTAATATTTTGTATTCAAATGCTAAATCTACTAAGGTTCAGAATATATTTTGAATAAATTTAATGCTTATGATGACAGCTTATAGCGGGTATATAAATTTATGAAATACCCGCTAGATTAGCGGACAAATTTATGAAATACTCTTAAAATGAATAAGATTTATTTGAATACAGTATATGTTAACAATGTAAGAAACATTTTTCTGTGCACTTTTCAAAAGTAACTCGTTACCATTTTCTGTTATCCATTGAGAAATGTAACTCATTACTCTTATCATTACTTATTTTAAAAAATAACTTGTTACTATGTTATTGTTACTGAAGAGATAGTGAATTTTCAAAATTTTCACTACTTTTTTCAAATTTTGAAAATCTTTTATTTACGTTTTGTTGCTGCCTAGTATTAAACATTGATTGATTAAAATTTTATTTGACTAAAGAATAATTGATAAACTAGTAATAAAAATAAATTAACTATTAAATAAAAATAAATTAACTATCATATATATAACCACAAATAATTTAATTAATTATAATGAAACTAATTATTAATCAGTGTATATAATCAATCAAGTAAAAATTTTAATATACTTAATTAATTAATTTAACTTACTGTATCATTTATTAATGATACTTAATTAATTTAACATTATTCGTAATTTTATATATTACAATTGATTAATTTTTATTATTAATTAGTCAATTATTTTAGTCAACTAATATTTTAATCGATTAATGCCTGACTCGACTGCTGTTCATTACGCGTACATGTACGCAAGAAATAGAAGGATAATAATATAAAACAGAATGTCAATATATTTCTCAATGATAAAATTCTATAGTAATTGTTATTATAAAATTCTCCTCCCAAAGGTATGCAAAGTAACGATAAAAACAATGATTATATTTGTTACTATTATCCCAAAAATATAATTACTATTATTAAGCCTTAAGCGGACGCGCGGTACTGAGTGCTGCGTCACAAACTTATTATTTATTTTTTGTAAAATTATGATAAAATATTGTAAATACACCATAGGAAGAAATAAAATATATTTGTAATAAAATATAACATTGAAATTTCCTGTATGTTCCTAAATTTATGTTAACAAATATATGACTAAGAAAATTTAAAACAAGGAATATTAACTTGTTTAACAAATTAAAAATATCGTATTTTGTAAGTATTTGCACATATTGAATCGTTGCTTCATCTATATTCATCGTTTCCATCTTTAATTCGAGTTTTTTAATGTTTATTTTGCCAAAAAACTGGAGACATTGCGTCGCAAAGTAGAGAATATGCCAACTTTGTTTTTATAAATAGAGAGGTAAAAATTAAATGGCAAATTGGTTGAACAAAAACTGTTTAAATATATATCAATATAAAAACATAAGCAAAAGTAATAATAAGTAACATAAAACAAGTATTTTAAAATACTTGGAGATGTACAGTATGGAGTATCACAAAACATGACTTAGATTGAGAGCTGATTAACGAGCTGATAACGACCTATTGATAAAAATACAAAAATGCGCTATTTTGTAACAGATATAATGAATAAAGAATACATAGGGTCGTAAGTTTTTAGAAAAACCAATCTTGCGATGGAGTATTATTGTACCTTCCCTCTCCGTTTAAGGCTTAATGGAAAAAATAATGTTGTTACTAAGTTGTTACTAAAAAAAGTAATGGGGCAGGAGGAGAATGTTATAAGTAACACGTTACTTTCTAACTCTACATATTCTCGATTCAATTTTCCATTTTTTAAGCTAACACATTATTGACCGTCTGTTTTCAAAATTGTCTAGAAATCATTATCAAAACACGAGATAATTCTTCAATCCAGACAACAATTCGACTAACAAAATATGTACGGCTAATAAAACTAAAACTACAAATAAAACTGAGTTTCTTTTTGATCGGCCAATAACATATTAAAGATGATTGTTATCTCTCTCTTCTTTGTGTTTTTCGTCTTCATCCGACATTTTTTTCACAAATTGCTCATGTTTACCAGAAAGATAAATCGATGATCACGAACCAAATTGGACACGGCAAGCTTCTCTCGTGCCTTGTCGTGCAGATTTATCATCTTTGGGCAGATCGGATCGAAAACGTAGTCATTCTTGTTCAGTTCCTTGATATCATCACAGAGCTTGAGTTTCAGTCTTGACATATCCTTTACAAATTCGCTCTTACTGGCTACTCTCATGGTGTTGATCCAACCGGAAGCGATTGCGCCTTCGTCGGTCCAGCTTATTCCTTCGGCAATACGCAGATGTATCGGCAAAAGCTCATCTGAATAAAAATAAGACAAATATAAAATATGCATTTAAATATCTTGACGTTTTATAGAAAACATTATTTCGTGCTGAACAACTTTACCAGCGTTACATATGTGCGATAGCAATAATTTTTTTCATTCCATGGTCACATACAGAGAAAAAATTTTCTTTGGATTTAATATTTATTTGTTTGATTTTAAGTTGAGTTTGACTTAACAAAGTAATTTTATATCAAATATCACGTTCTATATCATTAGATTTATAACTATGTAGTTTGACGGAAAAAACACTATTATTCCAAAAAAATCTTCAATTACAAATAATCAATTATTTGGTTATATTTTTTATTTTACTTCGTTGGATTAAATTATATTATTTGATTGAAAAAGAACTATTGTTTTAAATATTTGGTTTTTTTTTTCAATGTAATTTACTGTTTATATTAGTCAATATAATACTTAGTTAAAAATTCAAGAGCAATCATGTTAGCACTGATTTGCACATATACAATATTTTGTCAATATCTGTTACTTATCGACCGTTGTTGCATTATTTCCAACGATAATCAGTATGTACGATATGAAAAAACTTGTTTGTATACTACAAGGATGCATTATACACTGAGAAAAAATTAGTGGGATATAAAGCTTATCTTTATAAGCTTATAAAGCTATAAGCTTATAAAACTTATAGAGAAATAAACTTTATTTCACAAAAATTTATTTCACAGAAATAAACTTTATATAATATCACATAAATCAATTTTCAACTATTTTCTTGATAGTGTATATCGTAAGTATATCATTAGAGTTAGTTGAAATCATTAATTATGTTCGATCATTGAAGTTAGGCAACTTAAACCATGGTTATGAAAAAAGGATAGGTGCCTCATTATAAGTAGATTGAATATGAGTATTAGTATGGAAATTTACAGGGGAGGAAAGGTGCACTCAATAAGATAAGATCAATAATAAAAATAGATTGTTAGTAATGCAAAAAAAGTCACGTTTCTCAATATTTAAACAAAAATTAACGAGCTTTTTTAGTAAAATAAGAAAACTAAGTAAAATAAATTATTTCTTTGAACCAAACAATTATTTAGATCAAATACAAATTATTTGAAAAGAAAACCAAATATTGATTGAATAACTTATTTAAACCAAAAAATTTATTGATTAAAACATTAGTTTTTTTTAACCATTCCAATAATCAAATTTGTTTATATAGATGTAATAAAATTGATTAAATCCAATATTTTTCTCCGTATATAAACTAATTAAATTTATTTTACATTATAAAAAAATTATAAAAATTATAAAAAAATATGATAGTCCGTAAAAAGCTTTCCAAATAAACTATGATAGCCAACATGTTAATTTATTTGCATCAGAAGTAGATATATCTGTTCATTTCATCTTATAACGGAAATAAATATATCCTCGTGCAGTTGAAATTAGCTTAACATAAGAAGTTTTTATGACTTATAAGCGATGTTAGCCATCCTAAGGATATTTCTCGCGAAAAATGAAAATAAGAGTATTCTTTATAGAAATATTTTTCTCATAAGAATATTTCTTGTAAAAAAAATCCAATAATATAAACATATTTTTTAAATTTCCTAATGATGAGAATGGATTGAAAATCCATGCGCGAGCTGTAGATGAGAATTAAAAGACTAAAAATTAAAAGTACTGAGGCTGAGAATTAAAAGTACCGAGACTGAGTGCCGAACCACCGATACGAAGACGTGAGATACTCGCCGCCAAATGTGTTTTTGCCTTCAATAGAGCGTCCTCGATGTCTTTTAGGCCGAATGTCTGAAAAAGCATAAGAAAAAAAGACTGTCTAATATGGATGATTTATAACGAGAACGAGACGGAAAAGAGTTATTACTGAACCTTGAATATCTTCTCTCGAATCTCAAGTGCGCTCCCGTCGCGCCGGCGTGCGAATTTCCTCCCCTGCATGTCATACAGTAACAACCAAACTACCCTTTCGCGTTGCTTCAGAGCCCCGTTCTCATACCAAAATCCTCCGTCTTCAAGGGTGCGATTTAAAATGTTCCTATCTGAAAAATTTGCAACGCGTTCGAATATCTCATGTATACATTTTTATGGTAATTATTTTACTCTATCTCTCTTTTTCTGTCTTATAGATACTAGATACGAGAAAGTCTACGTTCGTCCACAAAAAACGTCTCACATCTCAAAACATCGTATACTAGGCCGAAAACGCGTCTCATCTCGGCTTCGTTGGCATAACTCGGCGAGGGCTGCGCATTTTGCAGAACTTTGGCTGCCAAGAGGATGTCGTTGATGCGCCAGCCGGGTTCCACGCAAGCCTCTGTCATCGAACCCTTAGTTCCCAATATAGCATTCAGAGAAAGGATGGTGTCCTGACTTTTTTCGCTTCTCCCTTTCGGAAGAAAGCCTCTTTCCTTCGGTTGCCATTCCCAGTTCTGCGAATCCTTACGACTCATACGCCGTTCTGGTTCCGCCCTCGAACACAAATCCTCAATCCGTATCGTTTTCTAGTAAGTTAATCAATCTACGATGTATGAGTCGAAATATAACGAATTAGATTATGATGCTAAGACATTTCCAGTAGCGTCTAACCTCAGTCTATTCAATTATTAATCCTTATGACGAAGGCAACTTTAGCTTCTTGAAGTACATTTGCGATGTAGTCATGGTAAAAGTAAGAACATTGCGGTGACATACTACATTGGATTAATTATTAAATCTAGGTTGTATTTTCAGTTGATATTTAGAAACGCTATTGATCGAAACAGCTTGTGAAGCGAGATATTGCAAATTTAGAAGGATATATTCATTTGTCTTCTAAAGAATAGTTATAAAACTACTCGGAAAGATTTTCCGTTTACCCTAGAAAATATAATAACTACAATATTAAAAAATATAATGTTTACTTTACTGAAGCCAGAGAGAAAATGATTACATACAATTATATATGATTTTTATCATTATATTTGCTATATAAATCATCATACAATACATATACATCATCATACAATCATATGTATACCGTTATATATATATTATCATACAATCATATGTACAATATATATCCACATGTAAAAAAATATATATAAAGAAGATTGAATGATCACGCGCCATACAGTAGATGGTGACGTTTGTCGCTATACACTTGTATATTAGATCAAATTGAATAAAAAAATCCTTTCCATTTTTTAAATAACCACGTACATGTTTATTTATTAATTAAAGAAGATTAATATACAATTGTGCACAATAATACACTAATCTTTTTTAATTAATAATTAAACATCTACGTGGTCATTTGAAAAACAGTAGAGAACTTTTTTATTCAATTTGAATTAATATATATGTCTACACTGGTAAACGTCGCTATCACAGTTCATCTACATCACAGTATGGTGCATTATCATTCACAAATATTCTTTAATTAATAACTCAAAATTTTACGTGGTTGTTCGCAAAACGGTAGAGAAATTTTTTGTTCAGTTAACTTAATCTACCTATACACCGTCGTTCCTCCGTGAGTTACCGAATATCTTGTATATTATCATTGTATTTATATTTTTATAGCTAATAAAAGTTGACCTTAAAATATCCATTTGATCTAACACCATTCGTCAATAAGTTTTAATAGAACATAACATGGATCGAATAGTTTCCCTGAGGAAAAGAGTAGTGATTTACTGCTTACCGAATTTCTGAATAATATAGAAAGCTCTATATTTAAAAATTTCGAAATTACAACTTTTCAAACCACTGTTGTGACTGACTATCAGTGTTTGCTGGTCTAGATGGAACCATCAAGATAGTCAACTAGATGGAGAAATCAAAACATCTCATCTATATCTAGATGGTAAAGACATAGGCTGCGTTCGCTTTGGTCGCTTACGCGCTATAAGCGCTTATAAGCGTTGCTTACGTCGTTCGCTTTGGAACAGTAAGCGCTTACAGATCGAGTAATGACGTCATCGTGATGTTGTACTTACAAATGCTTATTCTATCGAGGTAGGGAAGCGTGAGCGCTCACATTCATTTTGGAACGCACCATAAGTAGCGTCAAACGCGAAAAATGAAAAAATTCCACAACAGATTTAAGCCGTTTTATTGATAAATATAGGAACTGATTGTATTTACACAATATTTGTCTCTGCAATATGATTTAAATTATTCATCATTTTAATCTAGTATAATATTCTTCACATAACTTGTCGTTGTATAGGCTTTTGAATAGAACGTCTATTTGCAATTATGATAATATTTTCTAGAACGTTATCATAAAGATTTTCACACACAATATTCGTCAGTATCACATAATGATTTTAACACCGTTAATATTAATGCAAATGATATACATATTAATTTTCCGTCTGCCATCTTATACGCTTATAAACCAAAACGCTTATAAAGCCAAAGGCTGCGTTCGGATAGTTCGCTGTCGCGCTACGAGACGCTAACGATATAAACACTGTTTGGGGAGCCAATAGCACGATAGCGTTTGCGTGCTATCCGAACGCGTCGGGCTAATAACGATAGCGTTCAGAGAGCTCGTTGACACGCTATGAGACGCTAAAGGCCTTTGCACGTCAGAAAGTCTTAACCATAACCGTAAACATACCAACACACAATCAGATAGAGTAACGCAAGTGAAAATTCGTAACCGTAAGGTTGAAGTCCCATGGCATTTTCCGCATATCGCGTAAGCGCGTAACCAATAGATTTCGACGTTTAGTATTTCTGTTGGAATTTCTAAAAGAATAGAAAGATGTGATTGGTTACGTGGTTACGTGTTACGCGAAAATACGTGCCATTCCATACTGCACAAAACGTTGAAAAAACGTTAATGAGACGTTGTAACATTGAAGATAGAAGTGCGGATGTTTTTTCTACATAGAATACATGTTGATTTTTCTACATTGATTACAAGATATTACCTGCAATGTTGAATATATATAAAACAAAAAGTACAATTTTTTACAACAATATTTGAGGAGCATTGAAAATTATATTATTGATAATATTAAGGAAAAATTTGTTATTATATAATAATATTAATAAAATAAATTATTATTAAATTTTATTATATT